AAGAGCTGTTAAATCTGGATCCTTACAAATCTGCTGGTCTTGACAATCTGGACCCTTTCTTTTTAAAACTATCAGTTAAAATTATTGCAACTCCGATTACCTGCCTATTCAACCTTTCTTTTGTATCGTGTGAGATCCCTAGAGACTGGAAAGCTGCTGCGATCATCCCCCTCTTCAAAGGGGGAGACACTCTAGATCCAAATTGTTATAGACCTATATCTATCCTGCCATGTCTTGCTAAAATCTTCGAATTCCAAGTTAATAAACAGATCACTGAATATTTTGAATCCCATCGTATTTTCTCTGCTATGCAATCTGGTTTTCGAGTTGGTCATGGATGCACTTCAGCTACGCTTAAGGTTCTTAACGATATCATAACCTCTATTGATAGGAGACATTACTGTGCTGCCATCTTCATAGATCTTGCCAAGGCGTTTGACTCTGTCAACCATCGTATTCTTATTGGCAGACTCAACAGCCTTGGTTTTTCAAGTGACTGCCTTGCTTGGTTCTCCAACTATTTCTTAGATAGAGTTCAGTGTGTAAAAGCGGAGGGTCTGCTGTCCAGTCCTCTTGCAGTCTCTATGGGGGTGCCCCAGGGATCAATTCTTGGGCCGACCCTATTTTCTATATACATTAATGATATTGCTAGTGCTGCTGGTGATTCGCTGATACATTTGTATGCAGACGACACCATTTTATATACATCCGGCCCCTCTTTGGATTGTGTGTTAATTAATCTTCAAACTAGTTTCAACGCCATACAATACGCTTTTCGTGATCTCCATCTGCTTTTAAATCCTAGTAAGACTAAATGCATGCTTTTTAATCGAACATTGCCCATAGCTGCTAACCAAACTACCATCACTACCCTTGAAGGGGTTGATTTAGAATATGTGGACTCTTACAAATATCTAGGAGTGTGGTTAGACTGTAAACTTAATTTTCAGACTCACATTAACTATCTCCAATCTAAAATTAAATCTAGAATCGGCTTTCTTTTTCGTCACAAAGCATCCTTCACTTATGCTGCCAAATATGCCCTTGTAAAACTTACCATCCTACCAATCTTTGATTTTGGCGATGTTATTTACAAATCTGCCTCCAAAACTCTACTTAGTAAACTGGATGTAATTTATCATAGTGCTATCCGTTTTGTTACTAAAGCTCCATACACTGCTCATCACTGTAATCTTTATTCTCTTATTGGCTGGCCCTCACTATATACTCGCCGCCGAATTCATTGGCTCCAAGTCATCTATAAGTCCTTATTAGGCATATCTCCGCCCTATCTCAGCTCCCTGGTAACCATAGCGACATCCACACGTAGAATGCGCTCTAGGAGGTATATTTTACTGGCTGTCCCCAAAGCTTATACTTCTTTTGGTCGCCATTCCTTCCAGTTCTCTGCTGCTTATGACTGGAATGAATTGCAAAAATCCTTGAAACTAGAGGTTCCTATTTCCCTTACCAATTTTAAGCATCAGCTGTCAAAGCTGTTTATTGATCATTGCACTTGTTTATAATATATTCTGCTTTTGTATATGGATTGGTTTATTGATTGTATGTTTATTTATTTCTATGTGTTTCTCTGTGTTGTTGTTTTCGTCGCACTGTTTCGCTTTGTCTTGGCCAGGTCGCAGTTGTAAATGAGAACTTGTTCTCAACTGATTTTACCTGGTTAAACAAAGGTTAAATAAAAAAAAAAAAAAAAAAAAAAATCTGCTAATGCTGTAAACTATTAGCCTGGGAAAACCCAGACAACATCCAGCAAATTTAGATTTGCTCTGCAAGTTAGTCTGGCAAAGTGTTTATTCAAGCCCATTTCTAATCCGTCAAAATCGCGGCACCAATCAGAAACGTTGGGGCGGGCTTTACACGATGACGACAACACAGCGACGGAACTAGGGGTGTGACAGTTATAGTTGAACACCGTCATTAGAACTAGGAGAGGTCTGTGCACCCCCTCACAAGAAGAGAAATCTTGGAGATCTCCTTAATAAACGGAGGTCTGAAATCTCTGCCCCTTTACCGATCAGAGCGCGCTGACACGGAGTAAAGCCTTGTTTATACTCGACGCGTCCGCACGAGCGCGAAGGTCCGCGCTGCAAAAATGACGCGTTCGGTGCACAAGACCGGCAAGACCCCATTTCGCTTGGCTGTGTGCACAGCTTTTTTTGTAACAGCGCGTGTAGCGCCGCGTCCGAGGATGAACGACTTCAAGCCGAATCTGCCCGAACATGTAGGCTACTAACTTTACATCTCACCGCACCGGCACCCAGTTTGCGCGTCTAAATTGCTACGTTTTTTTGTTAAGGTTTTGTTTACTGTGTGTGATTTATTTAATGGAAAGCACATTCACTTCTAGTTGTCTTGCTGTTAATTTTAAATAAACGTAGAGCAAGTAGCTAATCAGTGTCTGCTCGTTCGTCTGGGCGACCAGAGGCATTTGAGCTACGTCCGTTGGTGACGCCCCTTTGGAAATTTGTCTATGAAGCTTTGCCGGACCATAACTCAGTTACAACTGAGAATGGTCTGGTTTTAACCAGGCTAGTAAACTATATAGGGAGCCGCACATTACTATAACATTAAAGGTTAACAACAGAGCCTAGACTTTTAGCCTACATTCAGATGCTATTTATTTTTTAGATATAATAATCAACACCCAACACATTGTATGAAAACATGTAAACTGAACGTAAGGCAGTTTTTGCATTAACTTATGTTTTTACTCTAATTTGTTATTGAAATATAATAATTGACACAGTTGTTGTCATTTTCATGAAAGATATTTTAAACATACATTAAATAATCAAGATTAACATGTTAAGTAAAATATAATATATAGGCTAATATAGTGCATTTATTTAGTGCAAAAGTTCATTTCTCTAGGAACCAACAAGTTGTGGACACTGAATGACTTCTGCTGAGGTAAATATAATGCTAGTGACAAGCTATGCTGTTTTATTGACAATGCAAAACAGCATTTTTTGTTTGAATTTCGTGATCAAATAGTCAGAATTTGAAAGATTACACCTTGCTTATTATTATTGGTGTTAATGGTGGTTAGGCTACAAAACTGAATTTGTTGTGTACACATAGCAGGGGGCGGGGCGTGTTCGGTACGCCATGAGAGTATCGCGATTCGAATCGTGGGTTCTGTATCGCGGTTTTTCGGTTCGAATATCGTTACACCCCTAGTAAATACTTGTCACACGGGCACGAAAGATTTTTCGTTATGAAGCTGAAATTCTCTTCTTTTAAATGAAGTACTTTATATAAAAAACAAATATTCTCAGTTTATGTAATCTGTATGAAAAGAGAGAGATGTCAGTCTTTTTCCTTTCAGCTAATTATAGCGTATTATGTGTTAATGTGACCACGCCCACTGAGAGCACGCGCTATTCAAATGCAAATGTTGAGGCAAGCCATGAAAACGCCCACATCAGCTGGATAAAACATCCAGTTTAATACGAATCTTGTACTTTACCTCGTCTTGCTGCGCTGTGAGGAATAATACTATCGTAATAATCCTGGAAAAGTTACCTCAGAAGTGCTGGTAGTTTCATTTCGAGGAGCAACAGATTCAGCTGATGTAGTAAGTTATTTATTCTTAAGTGCTTTGTTCTAATCGCGTTATTGAATAGTGTCTGTAAACTGCACAAAGACTGTTTAAATATGAATTGCGTGTCTGTGTGTAAATGAATGACACAGACGCGCGCGATGTTGTTTACTACAGATGTACATCACATCTGTGCGTTCATTCACTCTCGCTCCTACATTAGTAAAAGTTTTTACATGAACACATCCAAACTATATTGCTATAGCCTACTGAGATTTGTTCTAATCGCGATATAGAATAGTGTCTGTAATGACAACATTTCGTTGACTAGTTTTGGGATAGATTATAAAGTTTTTACTCTAAAATAGACATCAAATAAGCTTTTGTTAGACAGTTTCTGCTCATATGTTAAATAGTATGTTTTGTCAAAAATAAATGAATCAACTGTTATAGTGTTTGTTCCAATGCAAGCTAGGCTATATCAAAATAATGAATCCTTAACTTTGAAATATGTATGAACAAATGTATTGGCCTACTTTTAAAAATAATACTTTATAAGAGATTTATGGAAAAAGACCATTTTCTTTTCAAGATGTTTCCAACTCTAACTTTGAACCAATTTTATAGAATGGCCCATATAACCTATTTGAACAGGATTTGTTTCCAGGTATGACTAAAAATGTGCTTTTGACTTTCATTTATATTTTGATTTTATATATATATATATATATATATATATATATGTGTGTGTGTGTGTATGTATGTGTGTATATATATATATATATATATATATATATATATATTTTGTCCTTGCATTCTTTCTTGTCTGACACACCTGAATGAAAGGCTCATTATGCGGGTCTTTGTCTTCTCAGGTGAAAACCACCTAATTATTCATGAGGGGGTTGGGCCGTTCACGCCCATTCGCATATTGCCAAGTACATGACAAGTTGTTCACAAGCAGTTTTATTGACATATTTCTTGCACTTGTAAATTATTTTTATATATCAAAGTTCTATGATATGAATAATAATTCACACCTGTTAAATGTGTTATGTAAAATACAGGCTTTTATGGTACAGTAAAAGTAAGCATACTTCAAATACTGCAGTCACTGTAATATTTCACTGTATTCAAATAGCTGGAATCTATTATATTATTATATGTACAGTGTATTTTCACGCTAAAAAATCTTTTATAGAATTGTAACAGAGAATTGTGTAGAATTGATTGACCCTTTTATGTGCTGTATTTATCAATTGTCTGATTACCTGTACCTGCCATCAAATAGCCTTTGAAACTGATATGGCACTCAAATACAATTAATCACTCACTCCTGTCACTCAGAATGCAGTTCAGTGAGACGGGGACAGCTTCCCAAAATCAAAAAATAATTGTTTTAGTATTTCTTGACATATTTTTTCTCTCTTTCCCTCAGGCAAAAAAGCGATGGAGATAGTTCTTTGTCTCTGCGCAGCCAGAGGAATAAGGAGGCAGAGCGAGAACTACATGATATGTCGGAGAAACTATCTCAACGTCTGGAGGAACTTGATCTGGTCAGTAACTCAATCTGTGAGTTTATCTGCTGTTTTAGTTCAAAACTCTAGAGCTATATGGTCTAGAATAAAAAAACTACTTTTTCTAACTTCTAGGCTGTTGATTCAATTGAAACTTGCCATGCATTATCCCAAGCATTTATCAAAGCATCGCAATGATATGTCAATTAAACTGTCTATCGAGTCGCCTATTTTGACTAATTGACCTACTGTATATCTCCTTTAAAAAAAATAGTTCACCCAAAAATGAAAATTTACTCACCCTCAAGTTGTTCTAAACCTTTCTTCTGCTGAACACAAAAGAAGATATTTTGAAGAATGATGGTAACCGAACAGTTGATAGGCCCATTGACTTCGATAGTATTTTTCCATACAATGGAAGTCAATGAGGTCCATCAACTATTTGGTTACCAATATTGTTCAAAATATATTTTTTTGTGGTCAACAGAAGAAAACCATTCATACAGGTTTGGAACAACTTGAGGGCGAGTAAATGATGTCAGAATTTATTTCAACTATCCTTGTTTTTAACTAAACACTTAGACAACAGATCATTCTGGGGTTGCACGCCAAGTTGCGTCAGAATCTACCCTAAGGGAGTGCTACAACTAAAAATCTGGGAATGTATGTATAAAGCCATTTAGACTTAATATTTTAGACTTAAGTGTTTCAAAATTCTAAGAATTACGTAATTTTACTCTAATTCCTAGACTAAAGGTTCCTAAGTGTTAAGACTAGGTCTCAGCTCCTAATTTTTTTAAGAGAGCTGGAGAGGTATCCTAACCTAGTTAGGAGTAACTAGATGGCAGCGGAGAGGAGGAGACCACACAATTTCCAACAAAGATATAATGTATTGGAATTATGTGTATGTATATTATGTTGTATATGATGACAGGGAGTTGATAAAATGATACAGGCTTGATCATAAAGGTATTCTTTTTGTAACTGACCTTGTAAGAAATTGAATAACTTCTCCCACTCTACAAATCACTGCTCTGACTGCAGTAATGACAGTAATAATAAAAATGTTTGGCAACTGGAAAAATGCAGCAGTGCACTGGTGATGACTTGGGCCCATCAGTCCACAGTAAGCAGGGTCTTAATTAGCACTATTGTGGCACTAACCACACCAAACATACTGTAGTGGCCAAAAGTGATGTGCAAAGGTTTTTGTTTAATGACCTTACAAGTTTGTTTAATCCATCAAACTTTTTATTTTATTTTATTTTTTGTATATTTTAAAATATGAAGGAAGAACAAAACACTAAACTTAGTAAAAGTATTTATCTGACAAAATTATTTGGCAAAAAAGCAAACTACAGCTACATGTTTTAGTGAAACAAAAATGCTCACAGGAAAATAATAAATTGACAACAGCATAATCAGTTATTAATATTTCACTGGTTATCTCTTGTTTTTGCATGTTCATAATTTCTTTGCATGATTTAATGTTTCATTGCATTATCACAAATAAAACAATTGACTCCAAGCACAACTATGCAATATGCGGAGCCCCTAAAGGGACCTTTGCAAAAAAATTAAAAATAAAGACTATCGCGTGCGCACGCGAAACATATTGTGATATGTTTCTCGTGCGCACGCGATATGTTTCTCGTGCGCACGCATTACAATTTCCGGTTTGCATACAATTTGCGTCACTGTCATTACTATGAGGAAAACAAGAGCATGGATGTCAAAGTTTAAACTTCTCTAGATTAAAAAAGACCAAAGTGTTATTAAACTGTTGGTTGACCAATAAATCCTTATTTTTAAGGAATTGGTTTAACAGGGATATTAATCATCTTATGAATATGTTTGATAATTATGGAAACATTTTAACATACGAACAATTTATGCGAATCCATAGTTTTCCTGTGCATTTTAAAGAATTTAATTTCGCATTAAAGCTATTTCCCCTACTCTGATTCATCTTATCAAAAGTCATATTCAATTTAACTCCACATTAATGATAAATCCAAAATTAATTTTAAATGGCATTGAATTGATTGATAAAAAAAATGCAATAATAAACATATTTGTACAATATTTCAAATACAAAATAAAATAGCACCTAGAGGAATTTTTTTGGAACTCTATTATTGATAATATTAATTGGAAGACTGCTTGGTTAATCCACTTTAAATATTGCATTAATAATAAAACCAAAGAAATACATTTTAAAATTGTGCATACTATACATGTTAGAATTTTGATGATTATTGCTTACAGCTATGAAAACCTTTTCACAATGTTCTAAATTTAAATTTGGGGTTTTCATAAGCTGTAAGCCATAATCATAAAAATTACAACAAATAAAGGCTTGAAATATCTCACTTTGCATGTAATGAGTCTGTTATATATTAGTTTCAACTTTTAAGTTGGGGATGAATTTAAATATTTTTGCTTATGGATATAATTTTCTTTTTACGATTTTTTTTTAACTCTATTATTGATCATATTAATTGGAAGACTGCTTTGTTTATACCCTTTAAATATTGCATTAATAATAAAACCAAAGAAATTGCAAGATACTCTGATATTGACGATTTATGTTCCTTTTGTAAAAGTGGGAAAGAGGTGTTGACTCATTTGTTTTTTTAATGCAAAATTATCCAAAATTTCTGGAAGGAATTGGCAGAATTTATCTTTAATTTAGTAAAAATTAAATACTATTTTACTTTAAATTATATTATTGTATATTATGAAAACAATGTTAACAAAGGTCTTGAATACATTGTTAATTTATATTGTTGGCAAAATTTTATATCCATAATAAAAAATATTTAAATTCATCCCCAACTTAAAAGTTGAAACTAATATATAACAGACTCATTACATGCAAAGTGAGATATTTCAAGCCTTTATTTGTTATAATTTTTATGATTATGGCTTACAGCTTATGAAAACCCCAAATTCAAATTTAGAATATTGTGAAAAGGTTTTCATAGCTGTAATCCATAATCATCAAAATTCTAACATGTATAGTATGCACAATTTTAAAATGTATTTCTTTGGTTTTATTATTAATGCAATATTTAAAGGGGATTAACCAAGCAGTCTTCCAATTAATATTATCAATAATAGAGTTCCAAAAAAAATTCTCTTGGTGCTATTTTATTTTGTATTTGAAATATTGTACAAATATGTTTATTATAGCATTTTTTTATCAATCAATTCAATGCCATTTATTTTGGAGTTATCATTAATGTGGAGTTAAATTGAATATGACTTTTGATAAGATGAATCAGGAAATAGCTTTAATTAAATTGTTTAAAATGCACAGGAAAACTATGGATTTGCATACATTGTTCGTATGTTAAAATATTTCCATAATTATCAAACCTTCATAAGATGATTAATATCCCTGTTAAACCAATTCCTTAAAAAATAAGGATTTATTGGTCACGTTGTAACCAACAGTTTAATAAAACTTTGGTCTTTTTTAATCTAGAGGAGAAGTTTAAACTTTGACATCCATGCTCTTGTTTTCCTCATAGTAATGACAGTGATGCAAATTGTTCGCAAACCGGAAATTGTTATGCGTGCGCACGAGAAACGTATCGCGTGGGCACGAGAAACGTATCGCGTGCGCACGAGAAACTATCGCGTGCGCACGCAATAGTCTTTATTTTTTTATTTTTGCAAAGGTCCCTTTAGGGGCTCCGTAGCAATATGCTTACAACAAATTTAATAATATTTGGATAATGGGTGAAGATGTTATTTTTCCTAGGCTGATCAACACTTTTGGCCACTGTATGGTAGTTCATTGACTTTCCAACTGATCTTCAAATCATGCGGCAAAAGCAAGCCACTTTTATGAGGATTGCAAGCTTCCCTGGGGTTATTGGAGCCGTTGATGGATCTCATGTTCCCATCATTGCTCCAACTGCAAATGAGACGACATATATCAATAGAAAAGTATTACACAGCATCAATACTAATTATTGATCATTTTGAAAAATGCAAATCCATTTTTTAAAATAAATGTAATATTAAAATAAATGTTTCAGTGTCTTAATTAAATGATTTTATTATAACAACATTACATGATTGGTGTCATGGTGCTGTGACCATCCTTGCAGGCTCACTATTGGCTGATTCAGAGGTTGAGGGTGGCCATTTTGGGTTGACATCATTGTAGTCCTTAGTTCACAACACTGAAGTGCCACTTAAGTCAGCACTTAAGAATCAGTCTTAGACTTTGCTGAAAGTTGCTTTTAGCTTCTTTATAAAAGTCTCCTACTCTCAGACAAGACCTACTTTTTACTAAGAATTTTTTGACACTCAAGTCAAAGCTTAAGACTGTTCTTAAAGGGACACTCCACCCATTTGCATTAAGCTTTCCATTGTTAGAAACCCAATCATACTATTGAATGGTCGTGCAACACTCTCTCATTTTCCCCTGAGACGAGAGAAATCCCCTATTTACCTTTTTCACTTCCTCCCACAATGATGCAAAAATCGTCATTTTACGTCATTGTCGGAGGAAGTGTAAGAGGGGGGGATTTCTGTAAAGACTACAAGCACTAGTTCCCACCCTTTCAAACCCGCCCATAGGCGGTTGGACCTAATGCGCTAACAGACCTATCACAGATCAGTGCCAGTACGTTTGATTTCACCGGCAGAAACTTTTTGAAAATATGGACGAAGGTACTGAATACGCAGACGGATGCATTATGGAGGATTAGGATTTTGAAGAAGTTATGGTAGAAACGGATGTTCGTGTGTGTTCTCAGTAGCCACTAGCTGCTAATAGAGTCGAGTCAGAAAGAACCTTACCTCCAGGCAAATGCGTTTAGTGCTACTAGCACTGCTAGTTCCAGACGTTCCTGGCTGTTTGTCGTCATCATCTGGCAAGGTAAATATCGACGGAATTGCGGTTTTCACAAGCGCGGGTCTCTTCAATCCTAAGGGGTTGGGTTCGAAATCTTCTGGATTGAAATGTAGACTGCACACCGTCAGATGTTTTAGTGCTTCAATGGCTGTGTCCTTTCCGAACT